GCGGGTGATAAAAGGAAAGTGTGAGGAATGCGAGATCGTGTTTTTTGGTCTTTTTCTTTAAATCTAGAATAGTTCAACTTTTGAAAGCATTTTCGTGCGAAAATTTTACTTTTTCTTATACGTAAGCTTCTCAAACTCAGACCTCACGCGGATTATTTTAATCGTCGGCTCGGAATTTTCTACAAATCACAAGAGAGGTCATTTTACTTCCCGGTTGGGATTTTCTTGCTAATTGGCTAGAGCACTTCTTGACGTACCAGAAGAAAATCATAAAAGTTACAACCTGCACAACCTCCACTTTTTTGGGAAAAGACGCCTCTGAGTCAAAGAAACCTTCAAAATCCATAAAAATAGGCTTTTTTGAGACTTTAGGCCCTTATTTCTCAAAAACTAGGAAGCTGTGCAAGTTGAGACTATCAGGATCCTTATTTGGTGCATCAGTAAGGGTTCTGGCCAGTTTTCACGAAATTCTCAATCGCAAAGTAAAATGACCTCCTCTGTCAAATAGTATATGAAGTTTTATATTAATATCCATCAAAAATTCAACCTGCGGCAGCTTTTTGTTCTTTAGATAATTAACTTCGAAGGTCGAAAATTGAGAAAAGTAGAAAGTTCCAAACAGAAAAGTAAAATGACCTCTCTTGTCAGTGCGCGCCAGACGTTTCTGGGCTTTTTAGGCAGCCCTTGAGAAAGATAACACCGCTCAAAAAATCCCAAAAAGTTCTCAAAAATCTCCGCCTATGATCACCAATGTCCGAATATAAAGAAAAAAAGTTTTGAGCTAAAAAAAAAGACAAAAGTTTCCTCAAACCCATTGCCCGGAAGAAGAAAAAAAAATTTTCCGGAAAACCGCAACAAAATACATGTTTTCCTCGTCGAGAAGACACCAACTAGTTAACAATGCGTGGAAAATGGCACTCAACTGGTGTATTGGTGCGCCAGAATACACGATTACGACAATTACCCAATTTGTGAGGCTCTGCTCTTACGCTCTCGCGGTTTCGGGCTCCGAGATTGGCTTCATCTCAAGGCCAGCCTCGAATCAACCCGTAATGTCGCAACTCGTTTCCTTCAATCATCATAGTCCATTTACAACCGCTTTCTTGGATGTCGAGAAATGGAACAACTGAAGTTGAAATGAGAGAAGGTTTTCTTTGATGGAGTGATGATTTTTTGATTTTCAAAGTCTAACGCTTCAGAATGCGATCCAACTTTAATATAACGGAGCTGATTGGAAATATTAAAAACTGGATCCGATACAATAATTTCTTGCCTTGAAGGTGTTTAAGAATTATTTTTGTACAATATCTCTTTAAAGTCGCCAAAGTTTGCTGAAAATTCGTTGAATTTTGATTGCTAACGAGGAAGGACATTTCCTGAAAACTTGCCAAATTTTTATTAGAGTTACAGAAAAGGGTTTTGAAAAGTCTGAACCTAGACATATTATTAGTTTTGTGGAAATAAGAGCTTAAATGCGAAAAATAGCCCATTTTACGGATTTTGAGGGCTTTCCTAAAAAAACGAGGTTTTTTGCAGGTTGAGACTTCCAGAATCTCCATCTATCATATAAATGAATAATCTAGGGAATTTTTTTAGGAAATTCTGAACCGCGAAGTAAAATGACCTTCCTTGTTAAAGAAGACCTTTTTTTCAAAGATTTGTTCGAAATATTTTTTTATCAAAAAGAGATCAGTAAAACAAGTATTCCGCCGCTGGGAATAGAAAAATCGGTCACATCTACTCCGTTTATAATAAAAAAAGTTAGTTTAGTTTATATTGGACAGTAATTTGAATAAACCCCTGTCCGTGGAGACGTCTGGTCTAGGGGATAAGAAGCCCAGACGCCTTTCCGACTTGACCTAAGAGTACTGGAGCGAGATTTGAGTTATGCAGGCTTCTCAACCAACACAATCTATCACCTCAACAGCTTGTGCGTAAAAACCTGACAGGTCGACAATAAAAGCATAGGTGAGTCAGCTCTCCGTTTTACGGGCCAATAACTCCTTTATATTGGATGTTTTTCAGATTGAAAAAAATGGAGGGAAGATTTAGCTGAAATGACAAATATATAAATGCTCCTTGACAGAGGAATTTTGAAAAAAGCTGAAAATTTTGGATCATTCAAAAAAAAACTTCACAATGTTCAAAGGTCCCTGAGAACGAAGAAAAAGCTCGGAAAATCGATTCATAGCTTGTTCGCTTCATAGGATAATCTTTTTCATCAAAACTGTCAACCCAAAAATTTTCATCTTGCAGAAAACGGTTTCGATAAAAGACCCCAAAAAAAACATGATCAGAATGGAAAATTCTAAATTGATCAAAACTTTACAGAAACTAATGGGGAATTGGGAACCAAGTGGAGAAAAAACAAATTGGTTCACAGGAACGTGAATAATTTCATGAGAACCATCAATTTGAAACTATTATAACAATACAACTCCAATCTTCCTTTTCATTGCCAATAAGTTGAAGAATACACGTCGCACCTATTGTTAAATGGTCACCTGCCAAAAAAAAACTTTCTTTTCAGTACTTCTACAATGGCCAACAATGTGTGAGAACCTGGCGAATTTCTCATGAATTGGTCAATCGATAAATTTACTATATCTGTTCTTTATTTTGTGAACGTACTCAGGTTCTTTCTGGGAGCTGCCAATTAGCTTTGAAAGAGAGATGAAGTGAGGAAGAAAACATTTCTTGGTATAAGTGAAGAAGATTTAAATTATATTGAATGGTAAAAAATGAAACGAAAAATCCTTTCAAAGGGTGAAGTTGGAGGGCAAATCTTGACTGCCAAAAGTACCATTAAAATATTTTAGTGGCTTCTTTTATAAATTCAAGGCTGAACAAATCAAAAAATTCATCCAAAGCAACTTGAAAAAAAAACCAAGCGATTTAGATTGGAAAACTCGCGTTATTACTTAATTTAAAGCCTTGAGACGCCTTTAAAGTTTCCCTAGAGCGTTAGATGAGAAATGAAAACCGGGAAGCGCAATTTCCGAGTGAATTTAAAAAAACCGCTAGAAAAGTTATACCTTCTTTTGGTTTTTTTCTAAAAAGTTCTTTTTCTTTTGTTTGATTTCGGGAGTATCAAAACTTTGGGAGGAATAATTTTACTCGGCAGCAATTTCATATAGTTTCACAAAAGGTTGTAAAATATTTATCGAAAGTAAAGCGATGCAGAGAACGCAAGAAAAACGCAAGGAGTGGGTTACTGGGCGAGAATCGCCCCCCAGTGCGCCAAAAAAGAGCTCTCCTTGTTATGCGGTAAACGGGGGAATTCCCGCCTTTCTCACGTTGACCCGGGTTGCCGACTCCTTCTGTTGTTTCGAGAACAATGGAGGATGCTTATTTGAGAGGAATAAAAGCGAATACCTTTTTCGTGTAGTGGGAAAGAGATATCCATGGGAAAGTACTCAAAGAATAAGAGTTTTATTTGTTGTCAACATGTTTTGATCCTTGTTCGACTGAAGCCTAAAACTTGAAAATTTAAATGAATCCAAAAATTTTGTTGGCACTCTCAAGTTACTAGAGCTTTGACTGTATACTCTTTATTGGACTTTAAAAGATTTCCCAAGGGTTAGAGGTTTATTTTCCGGTTGTGAACTTTCAAGAATGGTGAAGTTGCTGCAAGAGTGTTGAGAAATAAAAAAATAAAAAACCAGAATTGCCAATATTGCCGGATTTTGACGATTTTCTAAAAACTTTATTTGAGTATTTTTAAGCTTTTTCAAGCTTTTACTGGTTTTTGGGGTTATCTCGGAAACATTTTTTACTCCTTCTCATCTTTCACAATTTCATGAATTTTAAAAATTAGTCGAAGTACCCCGGGTTCCTTACTGAAAAACTTTGTTCGAAAAAACAATTTCGCGCCTCCAGGATCTTCAGGACGAATCTTTCATAATCTCATCGAGAAGTGCTATCTTTTAAATTAAAAGATTTAGCTTCATCGCTGTTGTTTTTTTCACTCCTTTTTGAATATTGATCGAGTTTCTGAGATTTTTCGGAATACCCAGGGTCGAACTTTAAAGTTCTCCTGAAAAGAACTTCACTTTAGGTTTTCGAAACTGTCTGATTCTACAGCCCACTGCGAAAAAGTACATTTACATCTGAATGGAAGAAGGAAACTTCAAAAGCGACCTCAATATGGCTTCTCTTTGCTTTCTCACGTCCTTCACTCATGCAAAACGGTGCGGCGGACAAGCTGAAATGTGTGGCCGACATATGAAATTCACAACGGACGCCTTATCGCGTCAGGAAACCCAATTGTTTTGTTTTTGGGGAGCCGACCCGCAAAAATTTGCATAGAGACGGCTAGTTGCGGCCCAAAATGCTCCGGAAATACGACGACATCTGGTGAAGTGCCGCCGGCCTTTTCAATTATGAGCGGAGTTGATTGGATCTTTCATCGTTAGCTAAACAAGTTCCGTTTGTTTACCGATTCGGCCGAGATTCTAGGGTATTAAAGGGTTTTTTTCCATGTTTTTCACATTTTTTTTTCCAATTGACGATACAAAATTTTTCTCGTACTTAAAAATTGCTTGCACCAAATCTCCTTGTTCAGCACAACTTGTGCTATCTTGTTGAAATTCTGCTCTATCTTTGTACGTTCTAATGACTTTCTGAGGACAGTCAAAATTTGGAGCAGATTACGAAGAAGTTTCGGAGTGAAAACCAGGTTGCATGATCCGATTGGATAGCGCAAGCGAAGATTTTTTAAGATGAGTTTTCAAATTCAATTGATACCCCGGTGTGTTCCAAAAAAACATAAACTTTTAATAAAAACATTTTATTATCCAAGAAATTTACAGATGAACCGGGGAAATATGCTTCAAAGCATGAACCCGCTTCAAGACACAAGTTGACGGAAGATATGTATTCGTTAAAGCAGAAAAAAAATGAAAGTTTTTCGATTTTGGCTTCGAAAACAATCATGAATTCAAAAAATGACAGCAAAAGTGAAAGAATATGGTACAAGTAGAGAATTGATGAGAACCAATTTAATCGCGAGGCACATTTCCGGTCGAGTTTTCTTCGGCCTCGACGTCGACGTTTCCGTGACCATCGTCCACAGAAGCCACACGAGCGGCAGAATCCTCGTCGACGTTTGAATCTTGCTGAGCAACAACCGTGTCAAGGGTACGTGCTGAAAATGTTCACTGAATTAAAATGTCTACAAAATGCAGAGCTGACCCAAATTTATCAAAATTATCAAACATCTGAGTACAGAACAGTATTTTCTTGTCAGAAATTTTTTTAAAAAGTCCTGAGCTTTGAACTTATTTTACAGCTTTTTCTATACGTCGATTCCTACAGGAGAAATGCTAACCTTGAGTCGAGTGAGATCCGATGTTGGAACTAGTGCGATTGTCGGTCATCGTTTGATTGGCTTGAAGGCCAGAGATGTAACCTGAAATATTTCATTAGGTAGGACTCTTTAATTTGCTTTACGAACACCTAACTTCTTAATACAATCATTGGGTCCACTACTATTAGGAAAATTAGTTGATTAATCGGACTCACCTGCAATAAATGAGGAGAGGTTGACGCCGCAATTGGGACAAGCCGGGTCATTTTGACGTCGCTCTGAAATTAATTAATTGAGATGATTTTGAAATGAAGAACTCACGGGTTCGAATAAGCTCGCTGATCAAAGAAAGGGAGCCAGAAGACGAAAGAGAAGTCCGCGTGTCGGACATTTGACCTGCAAAATGTTGATGTTGTTCCTGAAAGTAAAGATTTCAACTGACTGTAAAAGTCCGCCAATCGAGTGCCAAAATTGCCGAACTCGGGAGGTCCTCCTCCTGTAAATAAGTTCATTTTCGAAAGTTTCTAATAGATCAACTCACGGCGAACTGTGTAGGTGCCTTGAGGTGGGGACGGCTCAACATTCCTAGAAATGATAAATGTGCGGGCACTTGGACTTTGTCCGACAAGTTCCGACATGGCGCGAGTTGGACGCCCTGCAACTCGGAACGATTGTGTTTCAGAACTCCTTATCTGATCAGCGTTTGAAGTTTTTGAAAACTCACCTCTAGAGGAAGCTGAAAACGAAAACTGATGGGTTAAAGACATGCGAGTCGTCGCAGGTTCTGCCGCGGCTTGAGGAACGGATTGCTGATCTGCAGGTCCTGATCGGTCTGAAAATTCAGTTAGATCTTCGAAAAATCGAAAAAAGTGAATGAGTTTTCTGCGGAACCTCAACTACATTTTTCTTGAGTACATCTTTCGGAGAGTTTATCGAGAATAGAAGAGAAAAAAAATACAAAAAAAAAAACAGAAAAAAATCATACCGCGTGGGAAGTCATGGGCGCAGGGCGAGCTGACATCAGCTTGTGCGACTTCTGGAATAGCTGACACATCGACGTGACTAACGACTTGGCCGTTTCCTTGGTTATTTCCTTGAAGCGAGACATCAGACACTGCTACATCTGAAAATTCCGTTCAATATTTTATAGAACTAAATTTAAATAAGAAATGTTCAGCTAGTGAATTTTTTTCATGACTTCAACACAGAATTCTCTTCAAGTTTTTTTGAGATTACCGACATTGACCGTATATGAAAAATAATTTTTGTCTACTAAATGAAATTGTAAGAAAATTCATACCACTCGAGACGTCTTGATCGTGATAGGCGCGAACAGCGTCGCGGCCGTTTTCGGAGGGGACATTTTCATAAACAGTAGGATCCGGTACGATTCCAACAGCTGGCAGGCCTGGAAAAGTTTCTTTAGTTATTTGGTTTCAAATAAAACTCGGATTTTTTTTTGTTGAACAGGACCTTGACTGGGTGAATTACTTACTCAAAAAACAAGAGTCAAAATCTCAAAAAACTACTTATAATCAAACTTAAAAATCATACCAGAATCGACTCCGGAGAAAGGAACAACGATAAGATTGAGTTCGACGACAGGAACAGCCTGGACTTCGACTTCGACGGATGGTGCGGCGACTATATCGACCTCGTCATGGTGACCCAAGTTTGAGGGATCTTCAGGAGCTTCCACCGCTTCACGATCCGCTTCAGGCTGGTCGCGGCCTGAAAATTAAATATGAAGTTTGAATTTTGGTCAAAAATCTTCACAGGCAAAATTTTCTCAGTGGAAAACCTTTTTTTGAAGGTTGTTGTCTATGAAAGACTACATGATCACGGAAAAAATTAATTAGTTTTTTGAACTTAAAGTGATAAAAGTTTATTCAAGAGATTTGTGTGAACTCACCTTGACGAGCTTGCAGTTGTCGGATCCTTGCCGATCGACGACGTTGAACAGGGACAGCTGGGCGGTTTGAGCCGCGGCGATTGCGCAAGTTCCGGTTGCTGGGACTCGGACGGACGGCGGCGCCACGACGGTTGCCTGGAAAAAGTTAGCTTTTCGAACCAATCAGAAATTGAAAATTTGTTCTCGCAAGTTCATTCAGTCATCTCCCAATTAAAAAAAACTCGACTCACGGTTTCCATTCGACCTTCTAGGCGACCTTCGGACCGGACTGGGGCCTTGTCCCGCTGAAAAAGTTCATCAATTCTCTCAAAAATTTAATCACAAACCGTGCGCGCGAGAAGAAACAGTGGATTTCATAAAACTCTTGGTCATTTCCTGCAAATTGATGGTTATAACTCGAAAAAGCACATAAAAAGTTTGATTGTTCACGAAAAACACAATGAAAAAGGAGAAGTGAACCGGATAACTGATGAAAATAACGAATTTTCATGTATTTGCGAACTGAAATATTGATACTGATCAATTTGATTACCGAAAACTAATTATTTTGAACTTTCTTCCACCTTAACTGTGAAAAAAATATACTTGAACGAAAACAAGTAATAAAAAATACGTTTCGTCAAAGAATTCAAAAGAAATTTGCGAGAAAACTATTGATAATCGTCAAAGCGACAAGAATCCTCTACGAAACATTATTTTCATCATTATTTATATCACTAAAATATTATAAACTGACTTTTTGTCTTATTTACTAAGTTGAAAACACAAAAAACAGAAAGAGAATCGCTTAATTCTAAAGGAAAATATGCCTAAACTCGTTGAAATCGAAATACTGGACAGTTTTTTTGATACGAAATGTTATTTTATGCATGAAATTACTCTAGAAACTTCGCAAACTAGTCATTAATTCAATTTATAACAAAAAAACACAAAAACAAACACGAAATCAAAATGAAAAACAAAAAAGAAATGTAAAATGAACGAGAGATTTTGAAAACGGAAAGAGGGGGAGGCGTCATGCGCACACTCGACGCAAGGAGGTACTTTTGGCGTAAGTCTCTTTCTGGTGAATATGAGCGATAAGTAGTGGGTTATTCTTGTCAAATTTACTTTTAAAACGGCTATAAAAAATTAGAAAAAATAATCAAACGAGGAAAACTTCATTTGAACGTGATTTCCAACATAAAAAAAGGCCTGGGGTCTCTTTTGCGCGATATTTTTCGTCAACTAACGTCTTATTTTTGGTTGCATTTCTTATCGAAAACATTTGGAAAGACGTTCCAAAGTACAATTAAACTTCCAGCATAACACAGATATGTTGAAAGTAATAGGAAAACAAGAAAAATATAAGTAAAACGCCTCGAAAATATGGAATCATCCTGAACATTGCCCCACACAAGGGGAAAATGGTCCCGGCGTTTCCAAATTTTTTATTATTTAAAATTATTAATTTAATAACAAGGCGAGACATCTGATAAATGTTTTTATCTTATCGACAGAGACCCTGGCAAGAAAATGGATTTATTTTTATTCAAGTTCAAAATTTTCGCTCTCCTCCTGTGAGCTAATTTCGATATTCTGACTGATTTCTATGTTGAAACTATATGACAATCATATTTTTAAATTATTTCAAACAATTAGAACGACGCAATAAACTTATAAAAAAATAAAAAAACCATGAGAAATAAAAAAATTTATGAGAAAACTATTGATAATCGTCAAAGCGACAAGAGTCCTCTACGAAATATTATTTTTTTATCATTATATACATCACCAAAATATTATAAACTGACTTTTTGTCATATTTACTAAGTTAAAAACACAAAAAACAGGAAGAGAATTGCTTAATTCTCAAGGAAAATATGCATAAACTCGTTGAAATCGAAATACTGGACAGTTTTTGATACGAAATGTTATTTTATGCATGAAATTACTCTAGAAACTTCGCAAACTAGTCATTAATTCAATTTATAACAAAAAAACACAAAAACAAACACGAAATCAAAATGAAAAACAAAAAAGAAATGTAAAATGAACGAGAGATTTTGAAAACGGAAAGAGGGGGGAGGCGTCATGCGCACACTCGACGCAAGGAGGTACTTTTGGCGTAAGCCTCTTTCTGGTGAATATAAGCGATAAGTAGTGGGTTATTCTTGTCAGATTCACTTCTAAAACACTTATTAAAAAATAGAAAAAATAATCAAACGAGGAAAACTTCATTTGAACGTGATTTTCAACAGAAAAAAGGCTTGGGGTCTCTTTACGCGATATTTTCGTCAACTAACGTCTTATTTTGGTTGCATTTCTTTTCGAAAACATTTGGAAAGACGTTCCAAAGTACAATTAAACAACCAGCACAAAATAATAATGTATAGAATCATTGAAAAAAACATAAAAAAATATAAAAAAATATGCCACGAAAGTGCCAAATCGTCTTGTTCGTAGCCTCGCACAAAGGGGAAAGGGTCCGCGTACTTTCCGTTTCCTCGTTTCTTTGGATTCTTGTTTTTTTATTACAAAAAAACATTCAACATAGTACTTTATCCTATTTTTTTGAAAACATTGACTTGAAAATGGATTTCTAAGGACCATTTTCTGGGATTCGGCTCATTTCTCACAAGGTAATTTTGATGATGCGGTTCATTTCTGTGCTCGAAATTAATGAGAACTCATTCAAAACTGTTTCGAACATTATTTTTAGTACAATAAAAAATCATGACAGCTGAATCTGTGTTTGAACATCACTATAAATTCATATGAACATTTTTAAAACTTGAGCAGCAACACAATTCAAAAACTAACAATGAGGAAAACTCGGAATGATGGGAAATATGCCACGAAAGTGCAAAATCGCCTTGTACATCTCCTTGAGCAAAGGAATATGATCCGAGCGTTTCCAAATTTCTAGTTATTTCGGAGACCTTGTTCGAATAACGAGAAGAAAAAGTTGGCAAGAACATTTCATTCAATTATGAATGCCCTGGCAAAAACATAGATTTTTAATGATCATTTTCCGGGAATCACCTCATCTCTGGCCAACTTATTTCTATATTCCGGCTGATTTCTGTGTTCATACTTTATGATAACTTTTGTTGAATCTTCTGAGATTAATGATACAAAAACAATGACAACATAAAAAATGATATACCCCTGGAAAAAAAGAAATAAGCCGTGAAAATACGTAACTTCTTTGAAATTCGCCTCTGGGTCTCAGTTTATCACGGGGTAACTTATAATTTTCAGACTGTTTTCTGTGTTGAAACTATGTTATAACTACATTTAAAATATTTTAAAACACTGAAAACGATACAATAAGAATACGGACAATGAAAAAATCCCGGTGTAATAAGAAAATTGTTTAAAAGTACAAAATTGCTTTGAAAATAGCCTTCAAGCTTTTTATTAGTGCGACTTTTCTGACGATTTTGTTTTTCGGGAAGTTTCTCCATTGTGCTCAGTTTCACTGTGAAAGTACAAAAAGAAAAAAATCCGAAATTCATACATTTATGGGAGAACATCAAACAAAAACAATGAATTTGTAAGTGTAAAAAAGATTTTTTCCACACCAGTAGTTCGTAACAAGGGAAGAAAACCAGCAACAATTAAAAGCTCAGTAAAATCGAAGACTTTGAAAAAAAAAAAACAAAGTTTTGACAATTGAAAAAAATGGATTCATTTGTCAAAAATATAGTCGAATCATCAAAATTGGGGGAGGTCGATTGCAATTAAGTAATGCGAATGAGATTAAACAGACGATTGGAAACAAAAACCGAACAGTAATTTCCAAAGATTTTTACACGAATCCTTCTGATCATAACTATTTCGAAACAAAATCCGCCGAAAACGCTTCAATTGAAAATTTTTCTGGATTTCAAAGAGAGGTTCACGTTCACTTTAGCTGATTTTCTTATTTTTTGAGTCAGCTAGAATTCCCATAATAATTAGAAAAATCTTCAGCAACCAGAAAATATCTCAGTTTTAGCTCCTGAGCAGAATAAATACTTTGATTTCCTCACTTTGATAAAAAATCTTCGAGCAAAAATCGACCAAAATTCAAAAGTGTTAGAATCTTCATGATTAACACTCACAAAGGACCAATCGTTTGGCAAGAAAAGAGTTTTTGGTAAGAAGAACTATTATAGCTTTTATTGAGGTCGCTAGAAGGCATTTTCCTTAAACAGCATCTTGCGGCTCATCGAAGTTCGCGGGATCGGCCTGAATCGGCCCCGGCGGAACTGCAAAAAAGAATTGCACGGGTTGAGCGGAGACCAAAGTGCCTTGGTAGACTTGATCTGAAAAATTTCCGAGTTAAAAAGATCTAGGAAGTTCAGAATACATACAGTAGCGGAAACGGATGAACATTTTTTTTCGTTCATAACTGTTCAAAAAAAATTCTATTGACTTGAAATTCGAAAAAGCTTGATGTTATAGCGATTTTTTTATTTTTAAACTTTGAGAAAACAAGTAGAGGAAGTTTGAAAAAAAGAGCATGTTGAACAAACATATCGAGTCAATGCCCCGTAAATATTATTGAATATAACGGCTATGCTACGGAGTATTTGATTTTTTTTTGTTTACTTGTTTGAATTGGAAGTCTGTCGTGTCGGCTTACTGGCTTCGTTGAATTTCTATGGGTTGATTGAAAATTCGAAATTTCTTGATGAAAATTCGAAAAAATTATTTTTTTGAAATTTTTTTCGTTGAAGTCGGTTCAAATCAAAGTTACGAACGAAAAAAATCAAGAAAAAAACGCTAACCATTTTTCCGCTACTGTAAGCGTCGGAAACTGACAAAAAAATGAACCAACCTGGTGCAGCAGTTTCAGGCGCTTGGTTGTGATAGGTCGCCCTTTGATGACCAAGCTCGCCCATACTGAGTCCAGCAAGGAACCCTTGAATTGATTTATTTCGTGTGAAAAAAATGAATCAATCTATTCCTTGATTTAAAAGATATAGTTATCGAATAAATTTCTGATTTTCAGTGTGTGAAAAAAAGCCAAAAAGTATTTTTGTGTCCTCGGTGTCCATAGCCGATCCACGACTAACGTTAGACGCACAAAGTGTCGTCTGTCTGCGCTCTCCACCAACCAGGCACTGTCTATTTTTTTTTCGTGCCGGGATTATTTTTTTTAATAACTCAGGCAAGCTGTGTATCAACTATATATACGAAAATTTCAGTCCACCCTCTTCAAACTTCCAGCTCATTTCACAAAAAAAATCTGAAACGTGTGGTGATAAAAAAAGCGATGGAAAAACTCGAGAGCGCTTTTTTTGTAGTTTGAATACGCATCAGAAAAGTTCCGAGAATCTTTCCATGCGCCTTAACAGAATCTAGGGATAAATGAGATAAACTATGCATTTTTATTACACTGCTCTTTATCACATCAAAAATATTCGGTCAGCCACAAAAGCCAGAAAAAATCTTTAAAGGTAAGCCTTTTTTACCATACAGCAAAGAAACGTGACATTAGTTTTAGGAGTGTCTGGATTTAAAACTTGATAAATCTGAGTAATTGATCTTACCTTTAACATAGTCGTTTAAACATTTCGCACACCGAGGGCATTCGGCCGCGCCTGAAAACTCGAATTTGCAGCGTGAAAAATATTGAACGGATTCGTTTTGTCTCAAAGCGGCAGATACAGTCCTGTGCAAACCGCATCTCTGATTCAACACGCATTTTCTGAGAAAGCCGATGAATCCAAAACTGAATTTAAAAATTTTTTTTCGATTTGCCTCTAACTGTGATAACGTCTCACACACGTGAAGAAAAAGTAGTTCTACAACAAATCCCTATGGTAGGATAGTCGACCTCCCTTCGGCCGAAGGTGATCAACTCGAATCGGCTCAACATTCAAAAAATGATTTTTCTCCTGATTGGACGGCTTCTTCCTCTTCTCAGTTTTGTAACATTTTTTTCCTGTTTTTTGCTTCTTCTCGCTGAAGTTAACATTACCACTACTAAAAAAAGAAGCAACATCTAACAGAACCAAATATTTATATTCCTCGGTCCTCCTTCAAAGTAAAGCCAACATGACTGTAATCTGTCAAAAAGCATTTCTGACCGAAAAAGGCTCCGATTCGTGTCGAAAAGTGATCTAGGTCGCATCCAAAAAGCATTTTGGGAGAATCGAAACAAAAAAGTTGTTTTTCGAGTCTTTGTGAAACTTTCATTTTTGGGGTCGTCACCTTCAGGCGGTCGGAGGTCAACTGGACCACCCCAGAGATTTTTACCGGACTAGTTCTTCCTCATCCACGAAGACCTACTCTTTTATATATCAAAAGATAATGACCACATTCGGGGGTCCCTACAGAAAAAACTACCTGAAAACGGAAAAAATCGAAAATCGACGAAAGCCTTAAAATTCGAAAAGTCTCGAGAAATTTGGAATAAACTTTTCTTTGAGCACTCAAATGGTGGAGAACATGAACGTGAGTGTTGTTTTTTGTTTCAAAATAAAAAAAGAGGAAGAAGCCGTCAAATTAGGAGAAAAATGATTTTTTGAATTTTGAGCCGATTCAAGTTGATCACCTTCGGTCGAACGGAGGTCAACTATCCCACCCCAGGGATTTGTTGTAGAACTACTTTTTCTCAAAGAAGAAGGCCCCTAGTTTCATAATCAGAAAAAAAGTCGTACCATAGGGGAGTTCTTACTCTAGTTATGGCTCAAAAACTGAAAAAATCGCCGTTTTTAAAGGAAATATCGACTTTTTCTCTGAAAGTCTCTGGAAAAATGAAAATTCTCAACAGCCAAAAACTTAATTTTCTCAGCCTAATGTCTACAGTAACTCTAAAAAGGGGCGGAGCCGCCTGAAACCTGGTGCCAAATAATCAGAAGCACGTGTGTGAGCCGTGAACATATATCGAAACGAGTCAAAGAAAAAATTTATTTTGTTTTGCTTTCGATTACTGAAAAAGTCATCGAATTTTTTTCAGAGAACGTGTGTTAATTTCTTATATGTTATTGTTTGAATTGAAGTCTTGCACGGCGGTTTACTGCATTTTTTGAACTTTTGAAGGTTGATAGCTTTTTTTGCGATTTTGATGAAAAACTCGAGCAAATTATTTTTTTGAAGTTTTTTTCTTTGAAGTCGGTCCAAATATTTTTTCCAAACTGTCAATAACATAATTTTACTCATTTGGTTGAAATTCCAGGTCAAAAAAATTTTTTTGAAAAGGTTACGGACGCAAAACCAAAAAACGCTCACCGATTCCCGCGAAATTTTTTTCAACATCGGAAAGTGGCAAAAAATGAACCAACCTGGTGCAGCAACTTGTGCTTGGTTGCTGAAGGTCGCCATTTGATGACGTTGCTCGCCCATACTGTGACCAGCGAGGAAACCTTAAATTGATTTATTTCGTGTGAAAAATAAATCTATCTATTCCTTGATGTAAAAGATATAATTATCGTATAAATCTCTGATTTTCAGTGTGTAAGGTGATAAAAAAAGCGATGAAAAAATTCGAACGCAAAATTTTTTGCGAAATTGCCTAAACTATGTTTTATGAATACGCAGCGAAAAAGTTCCGAGAATCTTTTCATGTGCCTTAACAGAATCTGGGAAAAAAATGAGAGAAATTTTGAATTTTCGTTACACTCCTCTTTTTCACGTGAAAAATATTCAGTCAGCAACAAAAGCCAAAAAAATCTTTGAAGGTAAGCTTTTTTTTTACCATAGAGCAAAGAAGCGTGATATTAGTTTTAGGAATATGAAAACTCAATGAATCTGAGTAAGTGATCTTACCTTTGACATAGTCCTCCAGGCATGAGCCACAACGAGGGCATTCGGCCGCGCCTGAAAACTCGAACTTGGGGTGTGAAAAATATTGAACGGAATAGTTTTGTCTCAAAGCGACAAATACAGTCCTGTGCAGACCACATCTCTGATTTAAGTGTTGAGGAGAACTTTTCACCCTAGTCTCAAAAAAAAAAAAGATTTTGTGCGAAGAACAGGTGTCAAAATTCTTGAAAAAGTGAAGTAAAAGCAAAGTACTCACGAAGCAAAGCCGACCCAGCATCTGTATTTGCAGCTCTGGCCGGTACTTCCTGACGAGGCCCTGAAAAATGACTCGTTGATCTGATGGAAGAAGAGGGCGAAGTAGGAGCATCAATAACGTTTTTAAGTTATGAAGAAAATAAATTATCATTTTTTGACGTGAACCTGTAGAAATATACAATGAGAAAAAAAGCCATAGAAAGATTTCAAGTTGAAACTTTTTTTGAGAAACAGAAATCCGATTGATAGAAACTCCTAGAGGGTTGAAGTTTTCAAACCAGTTGATCCTCCCAAACTAATATTCGATAAGACTTCTCTTGTTCCTGCATTAAAAAACAAACCGTTGCTCATCATGTGATCTTCCTCGTTCTCGTCCTGGATGGACTGCTCCGAGTAGCCAGAGCTCCCAGGACCTTCTTTTCTTCTTTTTTGCAGGCCAATTCTTCTGCGGAATCCTTCGACAGCTTCTTGCATGAATTTTTCTGCATCCGAAAGATTGAATATACGTGTTCAAAATGTCAGAAATACCTAGTTCTTGTTCAGGGATTAATCCAGAAGGCTGGGCTTGTGTCGGTGGCGCGACAGCCATACCTGAAATTAATTTATTCGATAACTTTCGAAATCAATCCACTAGAAAAATTCTGGAAAATCTTTAGTGGAAACTTCAGTTTTTTGAAGTTTTAGTGGACACTGTAGCAGTCGAATAAGTGGCCACTTAACTTTTATTATTTTTTATTTTGATATCAGCTGCTTCTCTATAAGTCTAAGTAGTACTATTAGATCAAGAAAAACTACTACAGCGGCTAATAATGCAAAAAGAAGTGACTTCTAAATGGGTTTCGGGACCAGGGTTGCAGACAAAATGATTTTTTGAGACCGAGACAAAACCGAGATGATAAATTTTCATAAAAAATTTCGAGGCGATATTGAAAGGAGATCGAAAAAAACTGTATGTAAATAAAAAAACACTTAAAACGATCAAAAAAAGCAGAAATCTTTTTGTAATATTACTGAGCAAATAGTAAAGAAACAGAAATTTATCTAGAAGTTTCTCGAAAAAGACTTGGAAATTTTTGAGACAAGAAGCAAGCTAGTCTCAAAAAATTGAGAAAGGATCTAGAAGTACAAATTTCCTTTCGATTTGAAAGAGTCTCCTCTCGAAAATTCCTCGAAACTACAAGACAAACCGCTAGAAATGTCGCTTCCGTCGACGATGGATTCGTTGTGCATCAAGGCCGAGTGAAGCCCATCGCCTCGCGCCATCACTCCGTTCAGATCTTCGTCCGGCGCTGATGTCGATGTTTCCTCGCTTTAAAATGCATTTTTGCATATCCTTCAAAAGATTCATGCCTACCGGAGGTTGCCGTCCAGGAGAACAGAATTTTCAAGGACTTCGCGGGAGGTGGACGGTAGGTCTTCGGTGGAGGATCGCGCTCTGTCAGGAAAAGTAGTAAAAAAAGGCAAAAACGATCACAGATTCTTCATAATATCTATAAGATTCAGTTCACACACAGTTTATAATCTTGCTACAAAGACCATTGAATACTGTCTTTAGTCGGTCATCAATCTACTATTTTCAAGCTTAGTACCTTCCAGGTTGCGTCGCGCTGAACCGGACGCCTCTCTCGCCTTGCCCGCGGTCTTCCACCGCTTTGCCGACCAACGGTCCGTTAGCATATCGAATTTCCAATTGAAATTTGTCTGAAAAGAAAATTTTTTCATGTGCCAAAAATCGTTATTTTAGACTATGTCACATGAAGCAATGTATTCGAATTCATTTTTCTTTTTTAAATTGAAAATTGAAAAAACTTGAAGCAAATAAGATCGAGTATCGTGCAACCCTGCTCGGGTCGCCTATCAAACCTCCAAAAAAATTCTTTTCGCGAGGAAGAACGGCTTCAGAGGAGCGGTTTCCGTGACCTTCGCTCTGGTTGCTTGACGAGCCCTCTGAAAAAAATCTTCTGATCAATCAATTTCTGTTTCGAAACTTGGAAAACGTCATTTACTTGTGAGTCTAGATTTCGAAAGATCTGAATACCGTGAACACGCGCAAGGCGAGATTTTGTTTAGCCAAGCTTGAGCTTTTTTTCTTATAGAAAAATGTCTTCAGTCTCAAACTGTCGCTAATACATCAAGTTTTCGTTAAAACCAAACCATTCAAAAAGTGTTTCTCAAACATCTCGATGTGCTTGAGTGCGTCGTTTTTAATGGCTTTTGATTGGTGAGAATAAAAACCTTTGAAAGATAGAAAAAACGCAAGGTTTTATGTAGCTTATTGCACGGTATGTGAAGCAGTTCAGTAGTTTTTGTTTCTGTTTTAAAAAAAAATGAAGAACATTTTTTAACTGAAATGACCTTTTATGACCTCGAACTTTTTATAATCAAACCTTGGGGAGCATCTTCTCCTTCTTCTGGCTGGTTCGGCTCGCTCTCGTCTGTCTCGTTGCCCTCGTCAGTCTCGTTGCTCTCTACGCTTTCGTCACTCGTAGAATGATCTGAAAAAACTTATTTACAATCAAAATTAGTAATAAAATATTTAATTGGTAGAATTGACTGGAACATTTCATTGACATGCGAGTTCATAGATTGGAAATTCTGGATACCATCCTCTGGTTACGCGCAAATTAGCCCCTTTTAGAGGCATGGGTACTGAGCTTGAGCTTTATTTTCTTTATGAAAAAGATTCTCAAGGTAGAATTCATAGCTTCAACCATTTAAAAAACTGGATAATTATATATCGAATTCTTGTATAAACCCATAAAATATTTTTTTAAAATATTTCCAGTTTTTTTAGGCTCTACTCAGGTTCTAGCAAAGATCAATTCTTTTTTTGACTTGTTTTTAGATATTGAACTAAATATCTGAAAAACCATTTCAGAACGGCTGAAGAGGGTAATTTGTATGTAGCTCATTACACGTTACTGCATGCAGCCTAAAATGTTTTGTTTCAGTTTTTGAATAAAGAGGAAGAAGCACTTTTTAACTGATACGACCTCTTATGATTTCGGACTTTTTATAATCAAACCTTGTAGAACATCTTCTTCTTCTGGACGGTTTTGTTCACCCGCGTCCCTCTCCTCATTCTCGTCGCTCTCGTCCCTCGTAGAGCGATCTGAAAAACTTCTTTTAACCAAAGACCATATCATAACAGCTGAAGAGGATAATTTGTATATAGCTCATTACACGGTACTGTATGCAGCTTAAATTTTGCGTTTCTGTTTTTTATGAAAAGTAAAAGAGACACTTTTTAATTGATACGATCTATAGAGATTATCAATTCATTAATTCAAACCTTCTAAATTTTCTTCTTTGATAGGGTAGCAAGTTGGATTGCGAAGCTCGGTTTTCTGCGGCTCTCCCTCCTCAGAGCGACCTGGAAAAAAAGTTGTTTATTTTTCAACTCGTTGTAAGCTTTTTGATAGCTAATACTGTTCTAAAAAAATTTTTATTTAATCTATAATTTATAGATTGGAGATTCTGACTGCCATCCTCTGACTGAATGCTTCAAAAAACCGTGAAGCATTCTTCATAAATCGAGTTCTTTTTCGAAGCAATGGAATAACTTACTGGATGCGTTTTGCAGTTTTTGATTTTTCGGCTTTCCAAAAAATAGCAGTTTAATTTTGAACTGTAATTGATAACAACCTAACGCTGTAAAAAGTCACTTCAAAAAGCCGGAATTATCTTATTGCACAATACTGCATTCGACTCGAAACTTTTTGAAATAAAAAAACACGAAAATAAACTGACTGTTTGTTGCGTGGGGCGAAGGTGATCTTGTCACGCCCGGAGAGTTTCCGCGATTTCGCTTCGCAAGCTGACTGCGAGGAGGACTTTCAACCTCAGGAGTCGCAGTTAGACTTCTGCACTCTTGAGCCTCCGAATCTGATATTATTACTTTAAGTCAGTTTGAATGATCGTGAAACTTTGATAATCAAACAACGAAAATATTTTCATCAACTCTTTTTTAAAAATGACGCTACAGATGTGCCTTAAATATTCACTCACCTTCGGTGTTTTGACGCTTTCTCAAGCGGCGTTCCAATCGTTCTGTAAATTGAAAGATGAAAAAAAATCGCTTAAAAAAAACGCACCAGACCTACCTTCTTTTGGAACGTTTATTGGTTTTACAGGTTTATTTTTGATTCTCTCAGATCTTCTCAGCATTGTGGAACAGAAGTGCTGTCTGAATATAACAAAAATCTCAAATGCAGTTTAACGAGAAACATGAGGAACTTGCACATTACGAATGAATTTTTTGACAATTTTCACTGTAATTGCGATAAGGAAGTGATAAAACTTTTTTGGCTTTGAAGTAAAATGAATTCTTAAACAGATTCAAAAACTACAGTTGAGTCGGAAAAAGAACATAAGAAACGGTCAAAACTTGCTTGTATGGAATTTAATTCTTCTCGAATTTTTCGAAGTTAGGATGACTTTTTTTACCCCTCTGGTTATATTTCAGTTCAGCGGAAAAAAAAACGCAACTAGGAAAATATTAGTAAGATTGAGTTTCGTACATGAAAGTAAAGTACATAAATCTTTTCGTTTAGTCTTTTTGGAAGGTATTTCACAAAAACTCGTGGCTCGCACAAAAGCCAAACACACTAATTATATTGACTCATATATTAAAACCTTGTGAAAGAGTGAGAAAAACTACTGGACCGATCAGAACCAAATGGTTCTGCTCCGAACCCCATACGAGGGGCGGAGCCTCAGAACGGTGCTGCGACCGACGCGTCTAAACAACGACGAGCATTTCTATGATGAAACCTTCTTGGGAATGGGAAAGTGTGGGAATTTCAATGGGCCGAACGACCGTTTCATTGGAAAACATCCATGAGAAAAAAAGGGCAGCTGAGGAATGAGAATTTTCAAAACTGGTCTAAAAAGTCTCCCATTTTTTTTTGCTCATGCGGAAGATTTTCTGAATTTCTCGCGATGGGGCTTCGAACTTCTTAAATAGCACTTTTTCCTGATTTTTGTAGTTTGCAGGCTTTCAAGGGTGATAACTCTAAAACAACATTAAGTTCAAGGAATTTTTCCTGTTTTTCAATCAGGAATTCATTAATAGACTTGGGCCAAGTTTAGTTGAAATTTTGAAAAGAGTCTAAAATAAATTTGAATTGGGAGAAAATGAGTTGCAAAAACTGGAGCGCGCCGAAAACAGTCACCCACGCGAAAGATGAAGGAAGGAGCCGCTGGCCAAATGTAAACGCAATACGAAAGACTCATAAGGTTGTCCACTGAAAACCATACGAGAACGGCGGGACTTCAAAAGACGTCGGAGGCAAAAAAGAAATCATTTGATCGGCGGAGCCTCAGAAGAATGCGATGGCGGTTTTTGAAACAACGACGATTTTATGGCGCAACCATTTTTGGAATGGGAAAGTGAGTAAACTCTTTTCAAAAAAATTGTTGAATGTGTCGAGAAAATGGATAATATGAATCATCATTTTCAAGGAGGGCCTTGAGAAAACTTAGGCAATGAGGAATTTGAAGATGAATTAAAAACGTTTTCAATAGACTTATGAACACGTTTTTGAGCTAATATTGTGATTTACTCAAAAAAATAAGTGATTTTTATGCCGTGATGATATTCGAAAAAGATCGTGGAATGTGTCAAGAGAACAAAGAATGGGAATCATCATTTTCAAGAAAAATCATTCGAAAAAAGTTGAGAAATAATTTTTAAAAATCTATTCGAAAACTTCACTTCTTTTCGAGTGATTATTAAGTCCAAAATGAGGAGAATATAAGTTGCGCAGCAGCTACGGCGTAAACAGTCCTACGCGCGCAAAATGAAAAAAGGAGACCGATGGGCGAGTCTAAACCAAAGACAGTAGACTCATAAGGTCGCGGTCCAAGAGCCACATGTGAACGTCGGAACTACAGAAGACGTCGGAGACCAAAAAAAAAACCGCATGTAAACATCGGATCTCCAGAAGACGTAGCACAGCAAGAAAAAACCATATGGGAGCGGCGGAGCTTCAGAAGACGGCGGAAACCAAAAAAACCTTTTGTAAACGGCGGAGCTTCGATAGGCGTCGGGGTCGGGAAAAAACCACATGTGAACGGCGGAGCTTCAGAAGACGTACCACACCGAAAAAAACCATATGGGAGCGGCAGAGCTTCAGAAGAAGTTTCCGACCGACTCTCACTGTTTTTCATAAACAACTATCCAGCTTTCTTACTTTATAACCATCTGGAGAAAAAAGAATTTTTTCCGTCATGAGAGGGTACCGGTATTCTCAAAAGCTGTGAGAACCGAAAAAAACGATATTTGGGGGTCTTTTTAAGTTATATCACATCATCTTTTTTTATCTGTTTTTTTAAAAGAGTTAATATTTTTCTATCAAAAGTTATCAATATTGGGAAAAATGGTGTGTAAAGATTCTAGTCATCTTGATCGCTTTATTCATCTTTTTTTATTGTTTTTTTAATGGACAGAAGCCACTCCAGATGGTTATCTTAAAAAAAGCGAAGAATTCCAATGAAGAAGCTCTTCTTACAAAAAAAGGTGACAGCTGTTAAGTACGCTCCGTCTCCGAGCTGTATCCATACTGATTTTTGATCTGAAACGGCGATTTTGTACAATCTCAGCTTCTGAGCCTAATAAAAAAATTCAGTAAAAATAATTTAGAGCTCATTTGTCTTCGGTCTCAAAATGAAAACCTGGCCCACAATTAAATATCAATATAAGTGTATAAAATGATTATCTAAAAAAACGGGTCTAGTTTGAGAAAAAAATAATTTTTTTATTTTTCCTATTCAAAGATGTGGGCTAAAAACTGCGGAGGTTTCGAAACACATTTATTTGAAAAATGTGAAAAAAATTGAGGACCTTTGAACAGCCTTACACGTTTAAAGTTCGAAATTCTGCAAGGACACGTGGAAAAAGCAAATAAGCTTGTCAATTTCCTTGGTGTAATTAGGAAAAATGATAATCTCGTCTTTTTCAATCAGGAAAACTAGATAAGCGGAAAATTCGGTGGCGAACAAAGAAATGAAGAACATTCATTTGACGAATGATAAAGAGTCGCGTATTCGTGGGTCTCGACGCAATGAACTACCGAACACTTGTGTTATGCCGCCACAGAGGTGATTAATCTAAACGTAGCGTCTCGGACATTTATGCTTTCAATATCCTTTTCTTTGATATCCCTAAATGCTTCTGTAAGATTCAAAATTAGGAGAAAGGCATCTTTGGCGGTATAAGCCTGATTAAAAATCTTGATCGCAATCATTTTATTCGGAAAAGTCCTCTAGATATGAATTGAAATATAAGAAAAACTTCCATGAGATCCGCGGCTTTTTTCTTCTTCTTGAACCTTTTTACTGCTTTGTGGCGTCGGCCTCTAGTCGATTAACCGAGGTTCTACCCTGATACCAGTGGTAATCAGTAGACTGGCTCTAGTGACATAACCGTCGTTGTATGTGACGGCTGTAAATTAAAAAACCATGGTTTTTACGCTTTCCCCACAATATTTTTTGCGGCGGAGATCAAACCTGTGACCCTTCGCATGGCAGACAGGCACGCAAAAACGGCGCGCTGCAGATCGACAACTCTCCTGAAATCTTCCAAAAATCTTGAAATAATTTGTTTCGAACGGGTAACTAATATATCTTCTTCTAATTCATTGAATTTTATTCTAATCAGAGTTTTTATTCCTGATTTCTGCAATGACGATATTTCCACTGAAGTTTAGGTTTTCAAAAAAGCCGCTTTTTTGAAGTTCGGTACCGAATTTCAATCAAGAGATTTTTTTTTAATTTCATGAGATGATATTTCTCCACTGTTCCGTGTTTTCATAAAGTTTTCCTTCTCTTTATTGAGCGGTAAACTTTTGACGCCTGCCCAGATTTTCTCCCTCTTTCGCTTGCCGGCTGCCGCTTCTGCAATTATCGTAAGATCACACCGATTTTTAGGACCGGAACATTTCTTTAGTTTTATTAAGCTTTGATGGGATTCTTATAATCTCAAAAGCATATCATATTAGAGGAAATACTGTATCTTACATATGGTATTTACGCGCTTACTTCCACAAACGCTAAAAAAATTGATGAAACAAAAATTTTTACACTTTTTTTAAAAGTTTGGATTGAAGCCTTGAATTATTATTTTTTTCAGTCAAATTAGCTCTTCTGTTTTTGTGCCTTAAAAGTCCCTCGCAAAAATGAAAAAAAGCTGGAGAACACGATCAACAGAACACCAATCAGAGCTACGCTGATTCAGACAGAAAGCGATTGAAAAACAATCCGTGAGAAAAAAAAAAGCTGTTGTCTGAGGCAGAATTGATTGTCTGAATTGAGTGGAGCATTTTCAGTGTCCGAAATTGGAAATGAAAGTCATAAAACTGCTTAGATGAGATTCATTCCCGAAGTGGAGACATATCTTGCTTTTTGGTTTTAGAAAAACAGTTAAATTTCAGTTTGTGAACTTTTTTCAAAGCATTCCAACGACTTCAGAAGCTTGATTAATTCGACGATCACATTGATTTACATATATCAAATGTTTCAACTTTGAGCGATTTTTCAACATTTTTAGTACGAACTAAAAATCACCATGAACTATTCCCCCTGGTGCTCTTTTCCAGAAGTCCCAACAATACTTAAACCTGGTCAACCTTTAAGAACGTATTTTGCAGCACAAATTAATGCTTCTTATAGACCAAATTACCTTCTTACGTTTCCTTTTTTCCAGATTTTTTAAAGAAGAACGTGAAGCTTATTAAAATTTATGGAAAACAGGTTTCAGAACGGCGGGAAGGCGTACGATAATTGACACAGCGGCAGCCGGTGGACAACTCGTGGAGCAAAGGCGCGCCGGCGTCAGAGGTCAAATTCAGCGCGCGAAAAACATGGGATCAAAGAAGATTGTGCAGGCCTTTTAATAACTTTCAGGAATGTTGAAAAAATGTATTAAAAGAAATCGCTCATTTTCGAAGCCTTTTTTTCTATTTCTGAGTATTTTTATTACATTGAAATCCGTCAAAAAAACATTTTTTTGGCCATTGAAAACTCAAAAATGTGTTTGGGACAATTTAAACTTTTTCGAGAAACATTAATTTTTTAGGTTTCTCATTCTGAAATTTGTAAGAAGATGATTGAGGGATCTGCTTGAAAATGAGCGTCTGCCTGTTCTCACTTGTAAGAGATTATCATGGTTTTCATTGCATTTTTTAGACTTTTTTTGTTGTTTCAGATTTGGATACGTTATTTCCCTTAAAAGTAAATTTCGTCTTCACTTCAAGATTCGTGGGTGCTAGGCGCAACCCACAGTGAACCGAGACGGAGGTGTTGATTTATTAATTTCTCTTTTTTGTCTAACTTTTCAATTTTTTAGTTATAGTTGATCCATTTGAGTCAAGTTTTCAGCTTCTTTTTTTCAGAGCGGATTTTCAGATCTATTTCCTCGAGCTTCTATTGGTCGCCACAATTCCAAGTATCTTCGATGAATGTGGAATTTTCCGTTTTATACGGTCTGTAAGCATTTGTTCCCAAGTTCAATCCTTGCTCCAGATTGGTTGAAGAAGATGTAAAAAAGAAGAAAATCAGTTTTAAATCGTTTTAAGAACAGTTTTCCTTGAATGAGAATGATGAAGCTTTGTGAGCCGGGGAAGGTTTCCCAAAAAAGGTTCTGGTACTAAACTTTTTTTTGATGGTTTTTTCGAAATTGCCGTCGAATATATGATTTGCGATGCCAACAGCAGACAAAACGGGCTGAATCTCGACAACTGCGACGACTCTTACGGGTGTCAGCGACTGTGAGGATCGGCAGAATAAATGACCGCGGCTGCTGAGGCCGCGCCGGCAAATGAAACTTG